TATCTCAGTGATAGGCACCATTATACTGTATTTATGTGAACAATGTTACTTGATTCTCCCACTGTCAATTAACATTGGCGTTCCACTAGGTAGTATACTTGGTCTAATCCTCTTTCTTTTTTACATCAATGATCTTCCCAATGCCATACGTTGGTTCGGTGTTAGGCAAGGCCCATAAACCGCAGGAGAGACCCTTCACCAGAGCTTACTTATCAACTAACAAGTATACACACCTTTTGACTACTCTGGACTACAGTAACCGCAATTAGTTTAATTCGTTTAGTATGCACCCCATACCCCTCTTGAGGGCGGTAGTGGAAAGGGTAACAGAGGCACATAATGGGCTCAGGGACTGAACCCCACGATTCAATTAGATTAGCAAGTCACAATCTTCATGAGTTAGTTACAAAATTCAATGCACATCGTCACATCAACAATGGGCTCGAGACCGACAACACAAATGTAAATATACAGAGAAATAAGATACTGTACATATAAGATATTGTATATATATACGTATATAAATCGGCTAGGATATATATACTAAGTATATATATATCCCCTGGGTAAAGTACATAATCCCATCACTGGTATTCGACTTAATTGCAACTCACTTTGCTAATATCCTAATAAAAGCGCGGTAGAAATAGCCTAAGCTACTCTATTCCTTTGAGATGTATTTCTTTCTTGTCTCAATAAACATACTTGAACTTGAATCCTAATAATAGTAAAATGCTTAAAGTAATTACATGACTATATTAATTACATAATATATATTATTTTTAAGCATTTGTAGTTATATATATCTGTTTAAAGGGTTTTGAAATGGTCAAAGGACTGGCAGATGCATGTGCTGATAAATGTAAAGTTTTGAGGCTAGGTAATGATGATAGAATTACAAGATACGAGCTAGATGGTGTTGAGATTGCGAAGTCGAATTGCGAAAGGGATCTGGGAGTTATGATAAGTAAGAATTTAAAACAAAAGGATCAATGCATGAACATTCGTAATAAGGCAAATAGGACACTGGGATTTATTAATCGAAGCGTTAGTAACAAGACACCTGGCGTGGTTCTTCAGCTATATCTTGCTCTGGTTAGGCCCCATTTAGATTATGCAGTTCAGTTTTGGTAGCCGTACTTCATATTCGAATAGAGAATTATTCAATTCATATTGAATAGAGAATTATTGTATATTTGACAACTTTCCTATATACAGTACTAGTAATTAGTGACATCATACAAAGTTTTCTGAACAACTTAACACCATTATTTAATTTTTAACTTTCATACGTGACAATTGCAGTAGACTTAGAATTAATAGTACTTTAGTACTTGCAGTAAACAAACCATTTAATCTTAATCTTGTATTACCACGAAGACACCGAACATCATCATCAGAGAACGCTTGAATTAGAACAAAGAGAGCCCACTGCACAATGATGTCACATTAACATGACGTATCAATTGGAAAGAGTATCAAATACCAAAAGGATGATACGGTGATGTCAATAAAGGGAACGTCTCTAAGACGAATACGCTATAGTACGAAAGTTTAAAAAAGTCTACTTACGGGCCGACATGGATATGGCGTCCGCTGATCCGAGAAAATAGTTTTTTTGCCTTCTCAGGCACATTTGGATATTAAATAGGATAAGAACTTACCTCTATCAATCCAGGAGGAGTAGAAGGATATTCAGAGGCATGTTTGATATTGTCATCTGCGAGTTAACGCGTATATTCGGTAGACTAACGAGTGAGAACACAGATTATCACAAGACTAGAGAGACGGACAGTGCACAACCCGTCCTCATCACATGACCACCTCAAATCTTCCACAATATCCACATTTCCTTTTGAGTAAATAAAGAAAATATATAAAAGAAATCATAAACTAACGTGTGGCGCAAAATTAGAGTAAAAACTTTCCGTTGCCTCATATAAGTAGCAATACCTCTGTTACTCTTGAAATAATAGAAACATTAGAATTAAGAAAATTGCATAAAGTCTATTGGCCCAGACGAAACCCTATTGTCCAATACGAGGCAATTCATTTATATCCCTCTATATCAGTTCGTTAATGCATAAATTATTGTCAATAATTTAATTACATCATTTATGCTTTACTTTAATGTGCCTCTGTAACCCTTTCCACTACCGCCCACAAGATGGGTATGGGGTGCATAATAAATGAACTAAACTAAAAAAACTTTAATTCATATAGCCGTTGCAGCAGCAGTATATGTAACTGTGATTAAGCTTTGCCATAAAACTAACTTGCATTACTTATCACTATAGAGGGCTTTTGGGAGAGTCAGAAATTCTGAGTAAGGTAGAAATGGGCTAAGATGAACAACAAAAGTTGTCTCATTTTGGGTTTGAACTTAATTGTGAATATATTGTGAAGCCTCAATTATTATTTGCTTCAGTATCACTATGTCATGCTCACCCTAGTTTATGTATGGCCGAAGGTTCCATTCATTAGACAAGTAAACGTTATTAAATAAACTTGCAGTATATAATATATTTGCCATGCAAAAATAATGCCACGAAAAACACTTCCAAAATTATATACGTCAGACAAGAGAATATACGTTCAGCAAGATAATTTAATTTATAACTGGCTTTTAGTTTAGATGATTATAGAGCTAGGAACCCAAGAATAAGAAGGGATAAGTTTATCCCCAAAGGTAAGGTGCAGGTGGAGGCGGCATGGACACCCGGGAGCCATTGTAACTGTGGCCAGGACGTGGGCAACACGCGCCATACCTCCTCTTCCATCTCCACTTTCTGCCTCCTGTGGTTACACCGCTCCTAGTTCAGGTGAGGAGTCTATAAATGTGTTGTTGCTAGTGACTGGAGCTGTAGTTAAGGAGTTGTGTCGCCCTGGGTCACGGCAGTGTTTTAAGACGGGTCAACTATAGCGTCTTGGTGCTTCACTCAAATCTTATTCGGCTGTTTCGACAGAGATCTTTTACTACTTAAAAAACGTAAGTTTAAGCTGTGTTAGCTTAGGTTATATACGTACTCACGTAGTTGTGTTTGCGGGCTGAGCTGTGTCCTCTTTGGTCTTTCTCAACTGGAGGTCAACGTGTTAAAATTAGGTTGTGTTTTCTTAGCTTATAAGTTTTAAAATGGGTTAAATGAGCCGTCTTAGGGGTTGTAGGTGACCAAATGTACCACTAAATTCCACATATGTAAGTTGCTTAGCTAAGGGAGTGTAGTTGTGGTCGGTGTTTACCATATTGTTGATGAGTTTACTGACTTTTTGAGATTTTTTTTGCCTGTGTTGTATGTGGGATGCTGAAGTTGAGTCTCTGGTCTATGTATAGGACAAGGAACTTGTCTTCATCTTTATTGCTAATGTTAACCTTGTCTATCTGATTTTTTTTTTTTAGTTCATTTATTATTGAAGTTGCATACAATTTGATGATTTACTACCAAATAAAATGCAAGTCTTTTCTATGTTTAGTGTGAGTTTATTGGTTGACATCCATGAGTGAACTTTTTTTTTTTTTCAATTCATTATTTACAATATTTAGTGTGTGGGGGTTAGGGTCAGAATAGATGACGGTAGTATAGTCAGCAAATAATATAGGTTTAAGAGTGGTAGAAACATTTGGCAAATCATTGGTGTATACAAGAAATAGGAGAGCTCCCAAGATGCTGCCCTGTGGCACCCCTGCTGTCAGTGGTAGAGTGGGGGGGCGAAGTTGTTATTGACGGCTTCCTATTGGTGTCTGACCAATAGGTGTCACTGGCACTGTCAATGACTCCGTAATAACTATGTGAGCACTTTTAAGGAAGAAAAGTATACAGGAGTGGTACTAAGGCTTATCAGTCACCCTTTGCAACCTACTGACATTTTTCCTGGCTAACATCAGTTGCCCATCTTTCAGTTAGCTATTTATTGCTGGATGAATGGAGTCACTGAGTGTGGTCCATGTAATTACCCAAAACTACCCAAAACCTCCTAGCATTACATAAGTAATATAAGAAATGACATGTTCAGTGAAAAAATTACATACTGTATTTACTCAAATGTTTGAGCTGAATGTATAACTTTATAAAATATATTTTTACTCTGAAATAATATAATTTTATAACAAAGTTGGGTCCATCTAATTACTCAAAGCGATCAAAGATGTCACTTTGATCATCGACTCCTATGGTGTCGGCTGCCAACTGGTTCTGTCAAATTTCGTGATAAAATTATATTATTTCGGAGTAAAAATGTTTTTTCATGTTCTACATTCAACACCAACATTATAGTGAGTAAATATAACATATGTATTTCTTCATTACTTACATAATACTAGGAAGCTTTGCATAATTAGTTGGATCCATTGGGTGAAGGGGAAATGTACCCAGTTATCTTTAGTGCTGTAGGAATTTAACCTGACACGTTGACCAGACCACACACTAGAAATTGAAGGGACGACGACGTTTCGGTCCGTCCTGGACCATACTCAAGTCGATTGTGACAATCGACTTGAGTATGGTCCAGGACGGACCGAAACGTCGTCGTCCCTTCAATTTCTAGTGTGTGGTCTGGTCAACATACTTCAGCCACGTTATTGTGACTCATCGCCTGCTTAACCTGACACCTTCACTTTTGATATGATGACCTATCACTGTGGTTAGTGAAAAAATCAGTAGAAGCCATGTGGAGGATTTGAACCTATGCTCTGGGTGCTCCCAAACAAACACGTTAGACCACTACTTTGCTTGGGAGTATCCCAAAGCAGAGGTTCGAATCCTCCTCATGGCTCTTACTGAATTTCTCGCATACATCACGTTAATATTTCACGATTTTTTCACATCACGATTTTCTTGTGCACTACAGTAGTTTTAATAGTAGTATACATTACAAAGGAATATTTTATTTTTTAATGATATTTAATAAAATAATGTATTTAGATTTACTACAAGGTGCTCAGGATAACATACCTATTTAAAAAGAAAGTATTGGACTAATAATTTTTCGTTCTTCACTTCTAGCATGAATCGTCGTAGAGGTGGCCGTCAACAGTGTGACAATTACCAAGATAGCTTCAGCGGTAGAGGCAGATATCGTGATAATGTCAACAATCGGGGAAACTATAGTTACAAAAACCAGCCTAATCAAACTTATGCCAGTCAGAAGTCCGTGAGGTCGAGCAACTCTGACTCGAATTGGGAGTGTCAGAAGTGCAATTTTTCCAACTATTCTAATAGAGTTTATTGCTTTAAATGTGGAGATTCAAAAGGTATGTATACTTGGTTGTATAAACGTAAATGTTAAAGCTAACCTGAAAGTTATTGATGTTGGTAACATACTTTTAAGTTTATTCTGGTAAATCGGTTTCAAAAATCTTATTTGGTTAATTTCCAGTAGAATTTTTACCGTCACATATTACAGCCTTTATCAAATATTAAGAGGGTATAGCTTGAGATTTACTAATCTGTGAGGAGTATTCACTATTTAAGCAATACAGAATGGTATTTAAAAACTGGATACAAATGGGCATACATACTGTGTAGCCTACTGTCAGACCAGTCTTTTGTTGACGTGACGTAAGCTTAAATTTATCCATAAGCCAACCAGTGTTGATTGTGAGTTGTTTGAATGTCTTTGGAATAAATCGTACTAACGAGCAAAGAGGAAGTGTGAACAGAATACAAAAATGACGAATGTGGCAAGATGGAATCGGTTTGTAAAGTCTTTATATTTTTTATATTGAAACTCGTAGGATGTATGTATATCCTGTGAGTTGCAATTTACATTGGGTGCTGTAGTGTATATACAGTATTGCTGGAGTGTAATGGTTTATTTATATACACAAAGGCACAATAGGTTTGTGAGAGTACAGTACATAACATTGTTCTTAAATTCTTACAAAACCACTAACAGGCATAGCATTTCGGGCATGGTGCTGGCTCTACATGCAGTACTTTATCATTACCTCATTTCCCACCATGGGGCAGGGAGGCATCAGTCCAGAGAAGAGAAATTAATGTAAAAAAAGTTAGATATTAAATAAGTCGCTCATCCATTTATTATACTGTATATGCGTACAACTCTGTATCTAAATTATACTACAGTATGTAGTAAATTTTTAGATATACTCATCACATAGTATAATTATCCATAGGGTCCTCATCTTTGTGGGTTCTCTAACTGTACATCCATCTAACGAGTTTAAAGTTATGATTAGTATTTAAATACTAAGACTTTAGTACTTCTTTGTACCATTTGTGTTCTACCTTTTTTTTTTTTGGTACAAAGGGGGAGAGATTATCTTGAGATGATTGTGGGGCTCAGCATCCACGAGCCCGGTCCTCAACCAGGTCTTTTTTTTTTTTTTTTTTTTTTTACACCCCCCCCCCAGGAAGCAGCCCATAGCAGCTGTAATTCCCAGGTACCAATTTACTGCTAGGTGAACAGGGGTTTCAGGGTGAAAGAAACTGCCCATTTGTTTCCACCTCCACCGGGGATCGAACCCGGAACCTCAGGACTACGAATCCCGAGCGCTGTTCACTCGGCTGTCGGGTCATGTTCAGGAGACTGTATGGTGTATGTTTAGTATCAGAGATAATTTTTTTGTCTGATATTTTAAAATTTATTTTGGTTTCAGGCTCTCGATCCTCCTCGCATGATTCACCACAGTGGAAAAAGGAAGACAGTTTTGATCGGCAGAGAGGTCAAAGTAGTGGCCAGACATGTGAAAAAGGTTATCACAGAGGTGAAAATAAATATGAAAAGAGCGAGAAATGTGAACCGGCAAATGAAGGACTAATTGATTGGGATGCACTTATTAAAGCGAGTGTAAGTGTTTATTTCTTATTTGGGTTGCAAGTCTGGGAAGATTTAATCAAACATTCAGATGTATCAAATATTTTTATAATGTATGGGAGTTCACATGTACAGTCACATCTCCCAAATCCGGACATCGCTAAAAGGGTTCTTTTAAACAGTGGATAAATTTAAATGGATTTCCCATTTAAAATTTGGAGGCAATTCTTGTCCCCGACAAGAATAATTGTTATAGGAGTATGGCATTGATACCTGCTTTTTTTTTTTGGGGGGGGGGGGGGAGGCATGTAATAGTTTGTGAATAAAATGGAGAACAGTGGTGGAAAGATAAGTGACATAATATTGAAACCTAAACTGTATACTGGGAGTGAACAGTTAGGATGCAGTCAAGAAAATGGCACAGAAAAAGACTAGGAGATATATATATATGTATGCATGTTTTATTTATTTTTTGCGTATATTTTTACATGTAAATGTATCATTTTATATATTTTAAAAAATTTTTGCAGAGGTAACTTCGATCAAAGCTGCACTTAAGGGGTTAAAATTTTATGCTAAAGCTCGGTAGTTCCAACAATGTATGCCACTTTGCTCACCTACGCACTTGGGTTAAAATCTCTGTTAGTATTAATTGTGGAAATGTGATTGTAATGTCATGTTTTTTTATGCATTACCTTTTTGAATTCATACTATAGGTTTTTTCAGAAAGTTGCATAGCATTTTCCGAGTTGCTTCACTAATCTTGCTCATTTAGGCAAGGTTAAACTGTTTCAACAGAGATAGGCTGGTAATTAGGGCAGGTCATTATTTTGCACCAGTGAAATAGATCTTTATGATCAGCCATCCCTGTTGGGCCATCCCAAAGGGGAAATTAGTAAACTGTTACTCCATCCTGGAGTCACTTGATTGAGTTATTTTAGTCTACACCAGTCTAAACTATGTATGTACAGTATTGGAAATTTCGGACGGACCTAAACGTCGTCGTCCCTTCATCTTTTATTGTGTGGTCTGGTCAAAATAGAACTGTGAGGTTGGAAAATAGGTACAGTACTTGTACCATGGTGGTGGTAGGTAACTAGCCAAGTGTAGGAGCTGAGCAGGCCAACTAGCAATTAGCAGAGCTGATTGGTGGTTCATTTGATGTTTGGTAGAACTTGGAAGGTCTCACAAGGCCACTCTGGCCTTAAATAAGACTGGTGTTAAAGGGAGAAAATGAAGCAGTGGGACCTGACAGGGAAGTTTAAGCAAACTCCTGATGTGCAATTGCAAAATGTAGGCCTCCCCTGAACACTGAATACTTTTCATGGGAAAATGGATCTTGCCTAAGGGGAGCGACCAAGCTCCTTGCTTGGATAGCTCTTTAACTATATATGTAAAGTGTAACTCTTATAAAAAATATATAAAAGCTATAGCTTTTATAGCTCTCATAAAAAAATTAAGGATCACTACCCAATATTTGATAAGCACGAGCAACATTCTGATTGACTTTGTTTCACACAGTTTAGTTAATTTATTATGCATCCCATACCCATCTTGTGGGTGGTAGTGGAAAGGGTTACAAAGGCACATAATGGGCTCAGGGACTGCTCACAAAATAAAACATTCAATTGTGTTTCTTTTTATAGAATAAGTATGAGGCAGAACGTTTGGCTGCTCTGCCACCACTACAAAAGAATCTTTATGTTGAAGATCCTGAGGTCAAGATTCTCAGTGAAAAAGAAGTGCAGAATTTCAGGTATGTTAAATGTTCATTGTAGCACATTTGAGTGCAAGGGGATCAGTTGATGGAATCGGTCCGTTGCCACTTCTGATACTGTAGTGGACTTTTCTGGGAATATTTGTTAGTCATAGTATGTTATATACAGTATACTGTGCTTTGATAATTGCTTCCATCAGTTTCTCAAACCCTACTATTGCTCAAAATTGATAGTCTGTCACCTTTACTTTTATTTCTTCCAAATAACTAAACTTTGAGAACTTTTGCTCAATATGTATCCCTACAGTTGTACTAATTTTATATGATAAGGTTTAAATGTGTGTTTTATTATTTACAACATTTAGTTATGTATTAACCTGAAGTATGTATTAATTTTGTTAATACCTCAGAAAGAAGAATTTCAATATAACTGTTCGCTGGGACGATGGCAACAGTAAGAAAATACCAAAGCCTGTGCTCACGTTTAAGCAGGCATTTGGGCCTTATCCAGAGTTGCTGGCAGAAATAGAGAGGATGGGATTTGAGACCCCTTCACCAATACAGTGTCAGTCATGGCCAATCTTGATGCAAGGACATGATATGATCGGTATTGCGCAAACAGGCACAGGTATGTGTTTATGTCTTTGTTGGAGAAGCTGTCATTTACATAGTCCTCAGGTAACCAAAGAAATTGTTATTAAAAAGACTTAAATAACCAATGGCACACAAAGTGCATAGATGCACAATCCATTAACAAAACTTGAATAATTTACTTAAATTTACCCGAGGGTTGCTTTCTTTCTTGGTGCCTTGACAGTGATAAGTTGACAGCCTGTCAATGGTATCCCCATTGTTTCTAAGGTTTTTTTCCAACTGGAGTTTGAACTGCAATAATGTCTTTGTATTTACATCTTCAGTGGATAGACAGGTGTATGGGATTAACCCTAGGGGGCAAAAAAAAAGCATCCCATGTTTTCAGTCCTACATTGTGGCTTGTTGAGCTTGAATCTGTTGCTCCTTCTATGTTACAATTGACCTTTTTAAAGAAGTGGTTTTGATTAATATCTTTAACTATTAAAAGTTTGAGATCAGCCTTGTAATGTCTGGTTTGCAGTATTAGATCTATGGTCCTCAACCATTCCTTTGTTTTTGTCCCTCTATCCTGCTTTCTCTAAAGTAGATACAGTACAGCATATCCTTTTGAAGGTGAGGTCTCCATGCTTGGATAGAATGGGCATACACCAGGGACCAGATTCACGAAGCGGTTACGCAAGTACTGTACTTACGAACATGTACATCTTTCCTCAATTTTTGACGGCCTTGATTACATTTATTTAACAGATTACAAGCATAAAAACTTGCCAATCAGCTGTTATTGTTATAAACAGCCTCCTGGTGCTTTAGAGCTCATTAACTGTTTAATAATTGTAAATAAAGTCGCCAAAGTTTGAGAAAAGATGTACAGGTTCGTAAGTGCTTGCGTAACTGCTTCGTGAATCTGGCCCCAGATTTGTAAAATTAATAACCAATTTCTTCTCCTTGGAATCAAAGATTCATTTAACTATTCCTAGGGTTTGGGTACCTTTTTGTTTTTTCTGCAGCTCACTTGTGCCACTTTCAATGACTGATGGATCCTGGTTCCAGGGTATTTTTCTTCATCAATTTGCTGTATGGTGGTAGTGTTTTGAGAGCTGTGCTATGCACTGTTGTGCTCATATGCAAGGTCTAGTATTTGTCCATGTAAGGTTTGCATTCTCCATTACCATAGATCTTGGTGTAATTTGCAAATTTAATGATTGCAATATTCTTACATCATTGATGTACAGTATACGATAAAAAAAGTGTTGGCCTTATGGTGGAAATTTGTGGTTGTAATGATAGTTATTATGTCATGGATTGTTGTAATTTTGATTTTTAAGTATTAATGTAAGAAGAGGGGGATACAATTAGGACTTTTCCTTCAATCTTTTGAATGGTGGTGCTGTTTGGTGGCTGAAGATACTAGACATGTCTAATAATGTTTTCTTCTTTGGTGAAGAAACATTATAGTTACCTCTTGTATGATAAATTATATCATTTTTATTTAACATCTGGCCTTCATTGACCTTGTCCCACATTCACATCATTGACCTAACTCTTCCCCCTCTTTTCCTTTATAAAATGCAGCCGTGGATGTCCGTCAGATTTGATGATTGCCTAATAGGGTTAATGCCGGCTACAAATAGTATTGTTAGTTTCTCCACATCACTTTAGTAATTTTCTACTGCTGTATTATATTATTATTTTTACAATCTTATAATCTATAAACAAAAATATAATAGTGATTGTATGTAGGTAAATGTTAAGTATTAGCATAGGTATTACTTTTTATGTAGACTGTCAAACTCTGCAACTATTTCATGTACTTTTAAATAATCTCTAAACATGCACAATTGAAACAAGACTTACACCATCCAGGATTCTCATTATCTTCATTAATATTATAACTCTTATCAACTTGTGGGAGGAGAGGAATTTGCATGGGTAAGATCAAAAAGCATCATCTTAAAAGGGCTGAAGATTTGAAGTGAAGTAATTGAATGTAGGTAGAAAAAGTATTATGAATGTGTTGGGAGAAATGAGATGACCATGCCATCATGAATATGATTTTGACTAGTTTGAGAAGAGTGCCAGATAAAGTATCAGATATATCTGTGGAAGTTATCGGTGCTGAAGCTGTGGAGAGCTTCACTACTGATATAGGAGAGCTGCAGGTCTGGATGAGGTTCGGTATATGCAAAAATACGTGCGAGTGAGAGAAGATTTTTGCCATAGAGCTTTTATAAAAGTTGTTCTTTATTATTCATGAATGATCACTTTCCTCTTTACAGGAAAAACCTTGGCCTTCCTTCTGCCAGCACTGCTGCACATTGTTGCTCAGCCAACCCCTCGTTGGGAACGTGTTGGGCCTACTTGTCTTGTTCTCGCTCCAACTCGAGAATTGGCTCAACAAATTGAAAAGGAGGTGTCTAAATATCAATATGAAAATATTAGATGGTAGGTTAATTTTAATAAATTATTGTATATTATTATTTAATGGCAAGTACTGTACAGTGCTTCTAGCAATGGCCCTAAATGTTGGAATAGTAATGCAAGCAGACATGAATGTTTCTGTGGAGTGTTACCACATTGTGTAAAATCAAAGCTTATTGATAAGCTTATTTGTTGAAACATCATAACTATTTATTCTTTAATTTCTCGACAATTATGTGATCAAACTCAAAATGTTGATTTTATGACCCTGCATTATACTAACTGGATCTGGTACCTATCCCAAGGTCTAAATTCATACTAACAAAAATAAGCTTGCCTTTTCTTATTTTATAGGAAATGATTTCTTGAAAAGAATTATTTTAATCAAATTGATTTGAGAATTAATTCCTTTCTATTAATGTTTGCTCCATTCCCAAGGTTTTTTCTTCAGTTTTAAGTTGAATTTCACATAGGTCAACATCTTTGGGAAAATTGTCAAGGAGCTGCTCTCCAATTTTGGAGAGCAAATGTTAAATCGTATTGAATTATTGACTTGTAAATTATACATTTGTTGTACAGTATTTTGACTTTCAGCATAATTCATTGATTAATGATAGCTTTTATTATTAATGACTTATCTGTATTAATAATAGTCTTGTTTAGTATTTTGCAGAGTATTGGTTAATGCCTTGTGGTCCTTTGTATCTTCACAGTGTGTGCGTATATGGTCAGGGCGATAAAAATCAGCAAATTCAGAAGATAAATGCCAAATCAGAAATTGTTATTGCTACTCCTGGGAGACTCAATGAATTTACCAGCAAAAGTAATGTATTAGTAGTTATTGTGATTTTATGAGATTTGATGTGATATCCTTTCTTGCTGATAAGGTAGTTTTTAGAATTTGTTTACTTTGGCATTAATTTATTAAGGATTTAAATTTTTTTTTAGATGTAAGTTGAGAGGCTTAAAATATGTGGAAGGGTGTTAATAAAAGGCCTATGCATGTTTAGAGGCCCAGTTGTTCATACGGACTCCCTACTCAAATTATAAGCCATCGTCCATTGTCGGGACAATTGCACTTCCAGCTGAACCTGTGGGGTGCTGTAGGGAACCATCAGTGTATATGATTTGAGAGAGAATGCTCTGTGGACAGAGCATCAATATGGCTTAAGGCATTGAGCTTTGCCTCAAGACGAAGCTTGGGCTGACCTCTAATTCACCCCTTGGGTGGAAAGGGAGGGATTAAAATTGGAAAGGGTGTAATCTCCCACAGTGCAGGAAAGTGCTACCGTTTCCCTTGGTACAAAATTATAAGTCTGATACATTCCGAGTTAAGTTCCAGTTTTAGTTATCCATTTAGAACAATGTTGACCTTCAATAAAGAAATTCTGGAGGGCTTCTGTGCAAGGGTTAGGATGAGCCAGCCTAAGCACTTTTATGCCAATCAAAGACAATCAACAATGCTCGGAATATTAAGTTCCTGACTCATGTGAAGTATCTTCATGGTACGAAGGCACTCGAGGATTATCCTCAAGGCTTCGTTATGCAATTTTTCAAGCCTACCAAGCTTTCTTTCAGGCATCAAAGCAGGCAAAGGTGCAGCATAATCCACTAAAGATCTGATGTATGCAAGGTAATCATTTTGACAATTCTGACATTGGCACCATAGCCTGAGTGATAACCTGCAACAGCTTCGAGAGCTCGAAGCCTCGCTTTATACTGACGACAGTCTGAATACATGACCATACAGTGGCACCTCAAGGCCAAGGTATTTGAATCTGTTTACATAGTCAAGCTGGTAGCCAGTTTGACTATGTAAACATACAGTTGCATCTTGGGAACAACTCCTCCCTACTTGGGTGAGTGCCGATTTAGTGTATCTTTCTCTGCTGAGATGACTAAACCTAGGCCCTGACATGAGTCTAATACAGAGTTAAGTGTGTTCTGCATGTTAGCATACCCAGTGGTGTGTATCATTATATCAGCAAAGCTAATGATATGCATGCTCGGTTTGCTCGGTACAGAGTTGAACAGCATGTTTATTAAGATATTAAAAAATGTAGGACTGAGGACACCTCCCTATCTAATACCAAGTTCGAAGTTTCTTGTTACACTTCTATGCCCCTGGAAAAACGCAATGACTTCGTGTTGGATAAGTAACCCGATTCAACAAAGAAGCCGACCACCAATATTCATTCTTGCAAGCTTACTCACGATAACATGTCAGTTTGCAATATTAAAGGCAGACTTGAGATCTAGGAAGGTGGTACATGACTTTTCAGTGTGCAGGGTAAGAAAAGTGGTGATGCAATGATGCACGCTCCATCCATGCATGAAGTCTGGGAGGATTAGGAAATCTGGGAGGATAGCACAATTCTTATTCTATGGAGGAGATAGTTTAGGACCATTCTCTAATTTTTTGCAAATGCCGCTAGTAAGGAAAATTGGGTGGAAAGCATTATCTTGAATGGTCTTGGGAATTACAATGTTCATACTGTTGGTCCTAGAGATAGGAAGTTCAGTAACGTAGGTGATATTATACAGCTCAAGAAGGGGATTTCCTGGTATTAAAGGAAGCAAACACAATATCATAAGTGATACCATCGTCACCAGTGGATGTGGCTTCACCTTTGTTTAGGGCTGAAATTATCTTGCTCGGTAAATGGCTTGTTGCATTCGTCTTCCTTGTAGAGCATGAAATCAACAAGCCTTTCTTGATCTCCTTAACCAGCTTTTAATCTGAATTGTGAAACTAGCTATAATTTTTTGAGTCATTTAGAATGGTGAAGTGTGTTTGAGGGAATGGGGTAAAAAATTGATGGGCCAACAGTGAATAGGTGGGAGGAATAGTGATAGTTTGAAGGCACTCTTGAATGTGATGACAAACAAGACAAAGAGGTCCACAGTTTGTGATGTGGTAGTAAGAGTTGTTTGTACAGGTTCTATAATGTAGTAGTAGTATATGCCTGTCATCATTAAGTACGAAGTTTATATTGATGTAATTTCCTGAAAATCTTGCATGTTAACTTATTTTTCATTTAATATCAAGTGATCACCCCATTATACCCATTATACCTTTAATGTTCCTCTGAATTATTCTAAGTTTTGCCTGAAATGCTTATCTTAAGCCAAATTTTTTTCCTATACTGCTTTCACTCCTTTGGCCTGATATGCCTATGAAAGTGGGAAATGTGGTAATGATATATGCTGACTAAATTGTGGAAACTCCTTAAAGTACTGAAATGTTTGTTCTTACGAGAAGTGAATATAAATTATGTCTACTAATAGCATTGCTGTTATCTTGTAGGAGTCATCGATTTAAGTGGCGTATCGTACTTGGTTCTGGATGAAGCAGACCGTATGCTTGACATGGGATTTGAACACCAAATACGCAAGATTGTATTGGACATACGTCCAGACAAACAGTGTGTAATGACAAGGTACGTAATAGGGTCTATAAAAATGTCGTGTATTGCAATTGAAAAGTAATGAGATGCGGTATGGAGACGGTGTCATTACCCTTGTGAACATGATAGTTTGCCTGTTGTACTCTTTCACTAACATTAAAACATCTGGAATTTGTTACCAATAGAGAGGGTTGTTCCATGGGCTCCCATGTAGTTACATTTAGTACATGCATGTATATTATTTATATACAAGAAGGTACACTGCATTGGGAAATTACATACATTACATAAATTACAATCATGCTGATTGAGTAGTACATTCTTGTAAAGCCACTAATACTCCTAGCATTATGGGCAGATCTTTAAGCTAACCAATAAATGTAATGATAGGTACATTGTATTTGAATTCACATAACTACTTAATTATAAATGTTAAATTCCATTGGATTATTAATCTTTGTTATATATAACATCCTATAAAAGTGTCCCCCCTTCCCAACCCCAAGTTTCTTCAACTAAAATATGCTGAAGAAACTGTGAAAGCAGTGAAGTTGTGTATTCTTGTATACATAGCAGTTATGATTTTTGTTTGTGTGAGGGTGGGGACAAAATGGCCAGAATAGTGGCTATAAACTACAAAGTGTAAAGGGCATCAAAATGTAATTAATGTAAAGTGTGCTTTTTATTATAAGGATACATGGAAAGTAAAAAAGTAATTATGTGCTTTTGATACTTTTTCATTTGGGAATTTAGCACCAGCTATAGACACATTCAAGATGGAAGGAAACTGGGGATCATGTGAAACTATCATGCCTGCATCCTTTGTTGAAGATAGACATTAAATACAATAATATTAGTTAATGGTTGACCAGACCACACACTAGAAGGTGAAGGGATGACGACGTTTCGGTCCGTCCTGGACCATTCTCAAGTCGATTGTCTTGACTTGAGAATGGTCCAGGACGGACAGAAACGTCGTCGTCCCTTCACCTTCTAGTGTGTGGTCTGGTCAACGTACTTTAGCCACATTATTGTGACTCATCGCTTGCATTGGTTAAATAGCAGCCAAAGAAACCCGTCTCGACCAAATGTTCTGACATTGGTATGTGATGATGCAAGGTATACCATTCTTAAGAGTGCTGGGTAGAGAGGACACCACGAGCATAGCTCTCATCCTTTAACTACACTTGGGTAATTAATTAGGTAAAGCAAGTGTTGTATGCTTTATTAATAATTTTCATTGCTTTACAGTGCTACATGGCCTGAAGGTGTTAGAGACCTGGCAAAAAAGCTGCTGAAGGATCCTATACATGTTGTTGTGGGGAGTCTAGCTCTTCAGGCTGTGCACACAGTGACTCAACATGTCACCTTCTGTACTGAGGATGGGAAAAAGGATGAGGTACAGTATTTACCGAGGTTTAACATTTTCCAAGATTTCACATGCTGGACTCGAGTAGAGAAGAGATGAAGACGTTAATACATTTTTTTTTACCATAATTCTTGTCAGCTTTTTGCTATGATTATTCATTTATTGGGATGGTTTTATTTCACAAACTAGTATTTATGTAAATTACGAAGAAATTAAGTGGCTTTTGTCAAATATAAGAGTACCAGTACTGGTGAGGGGTAAGAAGAATGGGCTCTTCCTTTCTTGGTTCTTAGCTTTAGCTACATCGTGTGCTGCTTGCTGCTACACTCATTGGCAGTGTTGCTGCATTGGGTGGGCCACCTGAGGTGACGCTGTCACTACAGGGGGGGGGCCACCTGAGGTGACGCTGTCACTACAGGGGGTGGGCCCACCTGAGGTGACAGTTATCATACAGGGCCACCTGTTGCTACTCTAGGAATATAAAAAAACAGTAGATATTTGCTTCTGGTGTGGTGTTATGGGTTCTAGCCCTCCAGGAAGTATTTGATGTAATTATTAGTATTGCAGTTCAGTGTTTTGTACATAGACATAGAGTACTTGGTACATAAGCATATTGAAAGTACAATAATGTGTGTGGAAAGAGTTAAATATTAACTTTCAAGGATTTCACAAAGGGTGTTGAGTGGTGTCTGGTTGGAATTTATCATCGTTTGCCTGTCATCAGTAGAAATTAGAAACTGATATCTAATTGATATTCCTAGAGTGAGACTTTAGCAAAGCAGAAATGCTGAGCAAATAAAGGGTCCCAAATTGTGGAATGACCTCCCAAATGTGATAAACAGGTTGGAAGACATTCAACTTTTAAAGTGAGAAACGAGGAAATATTAATTAACATACAACAAATTTCACTCAAATTTTCTATAAAAAATTGTTTGCTTTTGTAAATTTTATATACTGTGTGCCTGTGCCTTTCATCATTGACACCTAAATAGTATGTCATTTGCTAAATTGCTCAACAAAAAATCATGTTAGCTTCTTATTTAGCATTGTGGTTTTCCTTGTTAAATTTATAGTTTTGAAAGTTGTAAGAAATGTATAATTTATATTTTCAGCTTTTGAAGTTTATCAAGGGTATGGCTACCGGTGATAAGGCCATTGTGTTTGTCGGAAGGAAGGTAATGGTCGATCATCTTTCGGTCTTAATGCTTGAAGCAGGACAGATTGTAAGTTCTTTATGATATGCCTGCGTACCCTGTCTTTCACACCCCCTTGTTCTCTGTACCCTCTCCCAACCCTAGCTCTCTGTTCCCTCTCCCAACCCTAGCTCTCTGTTCCCTCTCCCAACCCTAGCTCTCTGTACCCTCTCCCAACCCTAGCTCTGTACCCTCTCCCAACCCTAGCTCTCTGTACCCTCTCCCAACCCTAGCTCTCTGTACCCTCTCCCAACCCTAGCTCTCTGTACCCTCTCCCAACCCTAGCTCTCTGTACCCTCTCCCAACCCTACCCTCTCCCAACCCTAGCTCTCTGTTCCCTCTCCCAACCCTAGCTCTCTGTTCCCTCTCCCAACCCTAGCTCTCTGTTCCCTCTCCCAACCCTAGCTCTCTGTTCCCTCTCCCAACCCTAGCTCTCTGTTCCCTCTCCCAACCCTAGCTCTCTGTACCCTCTCCCAACCCTAGCTCTCTGTACCCTCTCCCAACCCTAGCTCTCTGTACCCTCTCCACCCTAGCTCTCTGTTCCCTCTCCCAACCCTCCCAACCCTAGCTCTCTGTACCCTCTCCCAACCCTAGCTCTCTGTACCCTCTCCCAACCCTAGCTCTCTGTACCCTCTCCCAACCCTAGCTCTCTGTACCCTCTCCCAACCCTAGCTTGTTATGCCATATATAACTGTTTTCAACTTGAGGATTATGATTGAGAATAATATTTAGCATGTTAATTATGATGATCATAATGCGTGTGCGCTCTCAGGTACAGAGCATGCATGGTGACCGAGAACAGTGTGATCGTGAAGAAGCATTAAATGATCTAAAAACTGGGAAAGTCAAAGTTCTTATTGCCACCGATGTTGCTGCAAGAGGAATTGATGTTACTGATGTGACGTAAGTACTGTTTGGTAGTTAATGAACATGTACAGTTAATGTGTTGTTGTTTGTAACTTTGTTCATAAGTCTTGAAATTTTGTGTATTGTTGCTACATATTATTTGCTTAATTTATCAGAGGCTTATCATCCATCTAGTGGACTTGATGGGGGCAGGAAGCTGGCGGTTTGTCTAAGGTCCCACCATTTTTCCTGATTTTTTTTCCCACTGGATTTTCAATCTGGGTGGTCGTGGCATTTATAGCTTCAGGGATAGGCAGTACCATGGGGTTAAATTAATGTGTTAATCCTTGATTAAACATGGCCTTTATTAGTTAATAAATTTGTTAGGCTAATTTGTCTGGTTAGTGAGGCTAGTACTGTACCTCAATAGTACCACATTTGCACACTCATCTTTCTCACCCCTTTCTCAACTATTGTGTCAACTTTAATTGAGGTTAATGTTGAGGTATTTTTAATTGAAGATCATAAAATACAAACAAAACCGGAATATATATATTATTCCAGCCCATTTGCTCGTTACATCACAATGTGCTGAATTAACTTTACCGAACCTAACTGATGTCCCATGAATAGAAAATGAACTTTTGCAAGCTGCTATGATTTGTAGAGAATCATATTTTGTCAAAATGCAGTGTATTATTTGAGGGTAGGTATTACTTGTTTCATTCATATTTTTTAAATTCAACAGACACATTTTGAATTATGATTGTCCAAGAGATATGGAGGAGTATGTCCATCGTGTTGGTCGCACGGGCCGAGCTGGTCGCACTGGCTGTGCTTGTACATTAGTCACACGGGAGGACTGGAAGACCGCTGGCAAGTTGATTGAAATTTTGAAGAAGTCAAATCAGGTAATTACACCAGCTTATTTAATATATTGTATATTTAAATACTGTACAGTACTTTAAACTTTTGTTTATATTTACTAAAGGCACATACATATTTATATAATTTTTTTTTCTAGGAGGTCCACCCTGAATTATACCGCATGAAGGAACGTTGGGAGAAAGCCAGGACTGAAAAAAATCTTCGTGAAAATACAAGTCGGTATAGAAATAGGGGGCCTCAAGATGTATATTATTAAAGGACCATTGAAGTAGTTTTATATATGCTGTGCGTGCAATAATCATTGATATTTAGTTAACGTACAACTAATATTCTGGTATCTTTAATGTATGAAAAGATAACTTTAATTTGCAATACAGACTTGTTTTGCTGGGCATAGTTTTACAGATATTCAACCAGTTGTACTGTTTTATTGGTGATTTAATATCATCATATCTGAGGTAGATTGATATGATGAATGATATCAAAAGGGTATAAATTATAAAGGATATGTCTTTAGTAATAATTTGTTGGAAAGCTTAACCAATCAATATCTATTATTGAATGATTAAATCATATATATTTATAAATTAATAAATTATATGAATTGGCATTAGGATTTGAAAAGTGGTATATGTGGGATTTCAGTCATACAGGGCCTCGGCTTGCTACACATTCCTTCACACGCCTTTGTCTCGACTTTGGCTATCCATATTATTTTCACTCATTATGCTTGTATGTGATTTTTGGCACATTGTACATGTGGCATTTACACTGTTCTTTTTTTCTGGTCATCTTACCAGTAATGGTTTCTCTCAAATGTTTTTAGCTAGTAATTTATTGTCATTTAAAAATGCTGTATGATATAATTTTAGTGGATATAGGGTATTTAGGAAAATAAAAAAAAATTGACTGGAAATTTAGTTGTGAACTGAGTACAATCTGGACATCACAGGTCAGTGGAACATTTAGAAGTAGCTGCTGATATTCTGTTTTTGATGTTATTTGTCACCTATTAAAAATACTATTGACTTTAAAGTAGTATACCCATTATTTGTGTGATGGTATCCTTATGTCATTATTCTTGTCAGTTATACAAGGTTAGTTAATGATAAGTTTTAAAGACAAGAGAACCAAAGTGTCGTTAATTTTATTTAGTCTTGATATAAGTTTCTGGAAATCTAACTGCATGTATTTAGTGTCCTCCATAAGAGGGACAAGTGCAAGACCACATCTTTGTTAAATGTAAAATCTTTGTTAATGGAACTTGTACTGATCTTTAAGTTAAATTACTTTTTTATATGGAATTATTGTACACTAGAATACAGATATACATATATTTTTCTACTTGCTTTCCTAGTTATGCAATCAACTTAATATTAAGTATAGTAAGCAAAATTGAAATGTAAAAGGCAAAAATTTGTGTATTAAATGTATTGCTATTTAAATAAAAGAAATATCTGTAAAAGAAATTGAAAACCATGTGTTTCATGTATGTACTTACATATCCTTCCCGGTTTGGTGCCTTCTTTTTGATACTGTAATTACTTACTTCATGTATGTACTTGAAAGAGTACTGTACATTTTATTTCTGCTAACAATTCTGATATTATTCCGCAGTTTCTTACTGTCACTTGTGTAGAAGCAGAAAATAAAGGGTCAAGGTCTTGTATCACAAAGCCTAACATTACAACTCTCAAATTTTTCAAGGCAAGACATGAAAACTAGCTTTCCAAACACGGCTTACTCAAAATAGCTAGTTTATAATTTTTGAGAAGGTCCATATAAATTTTGATTAGAAGAAGAGATGGGGAGATATCTTGTTTGAAACATGTTAACAGAAAACTTTTCTCCAACCCCCTTACCTTGTGTAGGTACTGGGGATCAACATACCAGCGGCCTGATCTCCGACCAAGTCTCCCAGTTGGTCTGGTCAACCAGGCTGTTGGGTCGCAGCTGCTTGCAGCCTGGTTGATCGGGTATTCTTTGGAGGTGTTTGTCGAGTTCTCTCTTGAACACTTGAGAGGCTGGCCAATTATGCTCCTTGCGTGTAGCTGGGGTGTGTTGAAAAGTCTTGGGCACTTGATGTTGATAGTTCTCCCTCAACATACCTATTGCACATCTGCTTTTCATTGGGGGTATTTTGCGCATCCTGCCATGCCTACTGGTCTCGTGTGATGTTTGTGTTCTGATTTGGAATCAGTCTTGCCCCTCTCTCCTGGCAGGGTGACGAGGGCTAGTGGATCTAAAAAACCTGCATTATAGTTAAGGAACATCCATGCACCATATCTGCTACAAATGAAGTAGTGTTACAATTAGCTTTATCAAGCAAGTAACCCAAGGGTAATCAATTTCTATGATTACTAAAAACTAAGAGCTTATAAAAAAAGTGTTAAGAGTAGTCCTCCCAAGAATTGTATGCACAGATATCAAGTGAGGAAGGTGATGCTTTCAGGTAAAGTTAGTCTTCAACGGTTTCTTGAAGTCGGCAATAAAGACCGTGAGTAGAGCTAAGGTGCAGTGTGTGTTTTGGCGGCAGTGCTGTCATAAGTGCAAATACCGTAGATGAAAATGTCTGCGGTAAAATGACTGCTTTCAGAAAAAGTCCAGGAATTTCAATATTTGATAAATCATCACTAAGCCAATTTTGAAGAATTATTCCCAAAACTAAAAGCTGAATTGGTAGAAAATACTTACAGCAAATAGAAAATGGTGGATAATGTGGAATGAAGTCGCAAATTCTCAAAAGCCAACTGATGCCGAAATTATTGATTTAGTGACTGTGTACAAGGAGCAAGAAAGAATGGAGGAAATTGAGTCTTATAAGGTATATAGAGTTGGGTAACAATGATTTTTGATACTTTGGAGCTTTGTACAGTGTCTATGAAGTTGAACACAAGGCACGAGGCAACTTTACTTACTTTTGTGTAAAGGGCATCTAAGAAAGCTTGCTGTAAGCTGACTGCACTTGGTTCATCACAATGGCAATTCAGCATCTGAGGGTGCCCTATCAGATTTGATCCCTATCTAAAATAACTTTACACCATCTATATCCACCACACCACCTCGACAAATGTTCACGATCAACAATAGCTGTCAATCCAAGAGGATAAGAACTTCTCATATTGGTTGAGTACTATTAGTTTTCCCTTTTGATTTTCAGGATAATCTACTTTAAATAGTTTTTGGGCAATCTCGTGAACTACTGTATTTACAGAGAGCCTCCACACAGTTCTTTCTTGTGCAACTTTTTCATTGTTCACATCCATACCACTTTTTGACAATGTTAAAAATTAGTTTATATATTTGCTTTCATAATCTATATACATGTCATATGAATGGCATATAGCACTTCAACTTAAAACTAATTGATATTTTTTACTTACAAAGTACATATGGTTTATATACAAATTTGTGCACAGATGCCATAGGTGAGAGTAATTAGTATAGGCTAAAAAGCCACACTTATGTATTTGTGAAATTTATGTAAATATTTACAGTCTTTTGCACTTTCCTGAATGCTTTGTCAAGGTCTGAGTATGTGGTTAGGATGAGACTTGCATCTCAATAACTAATGTGGCTCTAATTCAGCCACATTAGTCCTTAAGATGAAAGTCTAGTTGTAACCACATATTCAGACCTTGACAAAGCACTCGGGATATTGCAAAAGACTTGGTGTAAATTTTTACATAACTTTCACAAATACACAAGTGTGGGTTTTTAGCCTATGTTATTATGTCTATAAGACAAGACCATCATTTATTAATTAGTATAGTGAGTTCAGCAGAATGGGTGATGTCTGATTCTCTAAAAGATGACTACGTTTCGGTCCGTGGCCTGTTATGTTGGACATTGTCTTCTGTGTTGGCATCGATATGTTCTTGTCTTGTCCTTACTCTCATGGTGGGTAGAGTAAATAGTTCCGTGATTTGGGTGTTCATGGTAGGTCGCTCTATTCTTATGTGAATTGCCTCAAGAATTTGTAATCTTCTTGAATCTTGGGTTTTGTCTATTATGCAAGTATTCTTGTTCAACATTTCTCTTGTTAGAGTAATGTCATGGGCTTGTCTCATGTGATTCCTAGGGGCACCAGATTGAAGATGGCATGTCAAACGCCTCGTCAGCTTGGTCGACGTCATACCTATGTACTTACATTGAAGGTTACATCCTTCGTGGGGGCAAGTGTACATGTATACAACGCTTGACTGCTGTAGAGGGTTCTCCGTCGGCTTCGGGCTGTTTTTGATAAGGAGTTCGGAAGTCTTCTTGGTTTTGTAGAATATTATCAGGTTTATGTTTTGGTTAGGAGTAGTGCTTTTTACTCCTTTACGGATTATTTCTTTCATTATTCTTTCCTCTTTTATATGTTCACTGTGCATGGTTGATTTGTAATATAATTTTATTGGGGGTGTTGTGGTTTCTGTTCTAGGTTCTGAATTATACCAACGGTCCAAGTGTCTTCTTATAGCAGCGTTTATTTCCGCGTTGCTATATCCGTTGTTCACCAATACCTGAGTTACTCTTTCAAACTCTCTACTCACGTTGCTCCATTCAGAGCAGTGGGTAAGCGCTCGACGAATATAAGCATTGAGAACACTGGCTTTGTATCTTTGGGGGCACTCACTTCTACCGTTCAGGCATAATCCTATGTTGGTGGGCTTGGTATATACGTTGGTGCTTAAAGAGGTTCCTGTTTTTGTTATTAGTACATCCAAGAATGGCAGACTGTTATTTTCACTATTTTCATGTGTAAATCGGAGTACTGACTCTCTCTCTAGGTGTCTTTTTAGGTCAATTAGTTCATCTGAGTCTTTTACTATTACGAATATGTCATCTACATAACGGCAGTATACAGTTGGTTTTTGTCTGCTACTGAAGACCCTATCTTCGATGGTTCCCATATAAAAATTAGCAAATAAAACTCCTAAGGGGGAGCCCATTGCTACTCCGTCTATTTGTAAATACATGTCTCCTTGTGGACTGATGAAAGGGTGATGAATATATATATATATATTTGATGTAACCATCAAATATATATATATATATATATATATATATATATATATATATATATATATATATATATATATATATATATATATATATATATATATTTGATGGTTACAAGATATACATGGGTTGATACAAAAATAATAATGCAAAAAGGTGCTTAAAGGTTATGGATCTCTTGAAAAACACAACAATGGGAAACATTGATGAATGTCACAAACGGGTTCGATCATTGTTGCAAGTCAAACACTTTTTCGAATTCCTCTGAAGTTGGACTAGTGCCCAAGACGCAACAGGCATTTCCCCTCTGAATCGCAACACTGAGGCGCTGGAACAAGAAAC